TGTGTGTGTGTGTGTGTGTGTGTGTGTGCGCGTGCGCGCGCGTGTTCAGCGATTGCAAGGAGTCAATTTTTATCTCAAATGAGAATCTTCCCCTCCACATTTTCAATTCCCTGCTGCCTTCTTTTCATCCCCATTTTCACATTTCATCACCATACACACACACACACACACAAATACACGCACCGCTACGTTTTAGAACAGAATTGGATACCCAGACAAAATGAACAACAGACCAAATAATGAGACCATGAATTTAATAACGTTGATTCAGCCAGTGCCGTCGTTTTGTTTGATGCCGCTGCAGACAAAGTATGAGACATGATCGTGAAATGCATCCTGTGAAACAAACTCATGTGTTCATATTTGTGGGCTTGTTTGAGTAAACTTAACATGTCAAGAAACCTCAAGAATAATGCAGAGTGCAGGTTCAATACTGACACAGGCCACAATCATTTTATGCTGTGTACTTAATTGTGTGTGTGTGTGTAGTATACAGGAAGTAAACTCCTGACAGTGAGAGGCAAAGCAGGCATCCTGTCTGAACTGACAGATCTAGAGCTAATGTAGCCCCCAGGATGCACTTCACAAACACACACGGTCATATCACAGACACACAATCACTCACACACACACACACACACACTTATCCACACAGCTGAAAGCCAAGTGCCCCAGGAGCCAAGTGAGGATTGAAAAGCCTCCCAGATCTGCCGGCATGACATCTGAAAAGCAGAGACGGTGCAGGGCTAGTGATTCCCCACAGCTGAGCTGATGTTGATTTAAGCCTAATGCACTGCTGCATTATTCTATTTTCTTCCCCCTTCAAACCAGCCCGCTGTTTATTTAGAAGAGTAATTCTCTTTAGATCTGAGCAGGAGAAGTGTGTCACCTCCACTGTGTAAAGGTAGTCAGAGAGTTTGATTTCAGTCAGAGGTTATAAACAAAGACAGACATTCCAAATCAAACTATATATTTTGTGTAAATTATGTACATAAATAAATATAATATCTGTATGAAGTCATATTGCATAATGCTGTATATTATACTGTGGCCACTAAATCTCCCATGTGTTATTGTGCATTTCTTTTTGTACCATGACTTGAGATGAAGAGGTGTAATAAAATGACGGCTGGTGAGAAATGGTACAGCTGCTCATCTCCTCTTTTTGTATCAGAATATTACAACTCCTCTTTTACAATATACATTATGTATGTACAATATATGCTGCTGTAACATGCTGTTGTTGGTCTTTTATACGTTAAAGTCAAGATGGGATTCAACACTTGCTTCTGTTTGTTTGTTTGTTTCCCCTTTGTAAAATACTAATGTACAAGAGTTTTACAGTCGCAGCTAAATCATGTTGATGGTACTGAGGTTTTTGCAGTTTCCATTTGTTACAAAGGCATTGTAAATGCCATTATGATGTTAGGTTGTATGGTTTTATGTGGCCCTTAGCCTTTAATAATGTCCCCATCAGAGCTGGCCCTTGCAGTTCAGAGGTTTCTGTGGTTTTAATGCAGGTTTTCTGCTCTTCAGTTTCTGGGCCTTAAAAGCTGCATTCTGAGCCAGAGACGTGACAGCAGGTGAAAACGTTTGCAGAGTGAAATGAGTGTATGACGAAGAGGAATGCTCACAATTTACAACTACTTTAACCCCGGGACAGCAGCCAGAAGCCAACTGATTCACTCTGTTATTTATTGCAGGGGAAGCTTTTAATCATAACCAGCTTTGACAAACGGCTCCTGGTGGCTCTGAGAAATGACGCTTGTGACCTTGTCTTGCCGCCTTAAGAGCACCTGAGTCCATTATGCCTGACAGGAAGGAGAAGGAGACGGAAAGTGCCACGGTCTGACTCCACATGTTCGACATCCAAATGTTGAGTTAACCTGCAAACAGTTCAGACATGCAGCTGCACATCTGTCAGTGCTGTACCCAGGTGTACACATCTGCATTTACCAGGCAGTTAATTACCTCTCTGGTGCCTGAGTGATTCATGTGTATAAAATGATGGACAAGACACAGAGTCTTGTGTTTTTATATGTCCTTTCAGAATAAACATCAAATAGCTGTAATGAAGAGCTGCAACAAAAAAAAGGAAAATAGATTACACATGCGACACCAGTGGCAGACTGAGGGACAGAGGCGAAAAATATCAAAGAGCACCAGCTGGATGTGGTGGTGCACCAGCATACAGAACGTTTCCTAGCAAGTAGGGCAGCCTATATGGCATCATGTTTTTTCAATTTGAAGGCCTTCTTAGAGCATTACATTCTCTCCACTGGAAGGGCCCCATAGAGGGCACTTCACGTTTTCTCCACTGGAAGGGCATTCTAGAGGGACTTCTAGAATGTTTCATCAACCTTAGAGGCATCCAAGAGGGCACTTTTGCTGTGGTTTGTTTCAGCATGGGGGCAACAAGGGGGTCAGTCTATTCTTGAGTGTAAAATGTCTTTTAATTATTTCAACTTCTTTATGCTGATTGAATGGTGGGATGAAATTTGACCCTTTTTATTGATTTAATATAATATATTGTAGCGACCCTTGGTCAGGAAAGCTACGAGACGTTATTTTACTTGTGGTCTTTTATTTGCGGACAGTACACAGGCTACTGTGGGCCGTAGCCTACGCCAAACAAACAGTCAACACTGTTAACGTTCTCTAACATCCTTAACCATCTGCTCCCGGTCATAGACTAACTCTCCCAGTTACCTGCACAAACAACAAACTCCCATAAGGCCTGAGGCCTCACTGACCTCCGTAAATGCAAGAACCAATCATAGATAACATCTTAGAACACTTTCTGTAAACACCATAACACCTAACATAACAGGTTAACATTATATGTCACTCAGTCCGTTACAATATATTTGTTATTTTTTATTCGTTTATTTTATTTCTGTTTTTATATAATTTTTATGTATTCTTATTTTATTTTTTGCTTTGTCTTGTGTATGCTTGTATAATGATTAGTTAAGTAGGTAGGTATGTATGTAAAATTATTTTTTGTTGAAAACAAACAAAAGGAATGTTGAAATTTATGGAACTACAACATACATGGCCAAATATTCAAATCCTTTTTGAGCTCTTCGACTGCCATGAGAGAAAGAACATAGTCTGCTGACAAACCTCTTCTTATTGTTTCTTGAAAATTTAATTAAGAAAGCATTTAAAAAGATGATAATTTCCCTTTTGTTGTTGGATTGTATAACACTTAAATTCAAAGAATGTACTGTAGATTGCAAAAGCAATGAGTTGCTCTACTCACTTGGGTTTTATTGTCTAACTGGCAAAAAACATTTCAAAACATTCATTTTTCATCTCTTTTTTCCCTTTCATCTCTCTGCTCTAATTTTACCATTTTGTGTGGAAATCCTAGAGCTGCTCCCTTCAGTGCATCTTAATGAGATCTGAGTCAGCAGGGTGCTTTTTGCCAGAGCACAGCGAGTAATATTTGTGTCACACAGCTGGCATCTCATTCCAGCTCCCAGGTTTGCACCGCAACAAATAAGCTGTCAGCCTTCCATCAACATTTGATAAGTACAGAAGAAGGTGCTGTGTCACCAGAGTGTTTTCCTCTGCCTTTCATCAATAATGAAATAGCACAAGAGAAGCAGCAGCTGACCTTGATGTATTCCGGATGAACAGAAGGATAGTACAGTAAGCCGGCTCAGTATCGAGTTGGAGAAGCTGAAGATGGTGTATCCTCTCTTTCACAGAGCAACACTGATGGATACAGGATGACAAGAATGATTAGATGGGACTGAGCAGATGTTAGGAACACTGTGACAGCGGAATTCTGAAGTCCTGAAATGAGTGCAAGGTTGCCATCTACTGGATCTGGGGTGGAAGCTCACAGTATAAGGATCACAGGATTTACTGACAGTAAAACTGCTGTGATCGTGTTTTGATGTTCTATACCAGGGGTTCTGAACCTTTTTGACCTCGGGGCCCAACTTTTCAAGCACAAAGTGTCCCGGGGCCCATTCAAATATTAACACTATTAGTTTAACTAATTGATCTCACTCTTGGTTTGATTTGTATTCAATAACTATAGTGTTACCTGTTCAACTCCACCCCTATTTTGGAGCAAAACTGCCTAAAATGACATACCCAAATTAAAATGGCTGTAGCTTCTGAACCACTGTGACTATATGCATCAAAAGTGTCAGAAAACCTGTAGGTCATATAGAAACAGAGCAAGTGGGCCTTTGGAGTCAGTAAAAATTGAAGATTTTTGTCCGCATAAAATAAAAAAGTATCTTTCAGTATAAATAACTGCCTGTGGCTGTATCTGTACAGGTAAATGACAGTATAGGGCTGTAACTACACTATCAGTGAACAACTGCCTCAAATTTGAAGAAGATTGGACAAAGTATGACGATTCTACAGTGTTTCTTCCATGAAGAGATCCAGGCGGAGCTCTAAAAGGATATTTGGAGAACCAAATGGACACATGGTAACCAAATGATATTCTGACACACTAAAGGTGTTTCTCCCTTTATATTTTGATATTATATTATTTTCCTTTTATTTTTAGCCTTTGCAAAAACTATATATATATAGTCGAAGACGTGGTATGTAAGTAGCGGACTTACTGTGCGTAAGCGCACGATTGAGTACGATGGTAGCTCAATTACGCAAGGTTATACGTTGGTTGACGGCTTATAGAACAAGAAGATAAGGTTTGTAATTTAAGTACTAGCGTTTTCTGAAGCTACTAGCTCCATGGTAACATCCACTAGCACATTGGTGGGTCTGTAATGTGTCTTTTTCCGTCGAAATGCTGCAAGATCCGACTTGCAGCGGTTATGGCGACTTTGGGCAGTGTGTGGTTGGGCTCCTTTTGTGAAAAATCCATAAGAAATGAAAGGAAATCGATGATTTCTTTGCAAAGATGAGGGTTTTAGGCATGCTGGGATACCCAACACGGCCATGTTTTGTGACGTAGTTTGCGCAAGCAAGCCGTAGGAATGGAACGGAA